GGGCGAGGACGAGCAGGACTGTGGTAAGGGGCGGAAGTGGGGTGGGGACGGGGAAGCCCTGACCTCCCTCCCTCCAGACCCCCCCCCCGCCCCGCTGCGGGCGGGGCGGGGCCCAAGCCTGTCAGCACCAACGGCTGCTGTGTTGCAGGCACCACGGACTTCGAGTCCCCCACGGCCGGGGGCTGGGAGGACGCCAGCGTGGGGCGGCTGCAGTGGGCACGTCTCCCGGCCCAGGAGAGCAGGGTCCCTGGCACCGGTGCCGCCAGGGCTACTGCTGGTGAGGCCCGAGTCTCCTGCCCCGGGCAGCCCAGAGCCTGCCTTCGAACTGCACCCCCAGGGGGGTCCCCCATTCTGACTCCTCACTAGGGAAGTTCTCTGAGTTGGGGGTCCCCGGAAGGAATCAGCCCTGAGCAGCTCTGTCTTCCCCAGGACACTTCCTGTCCTTGCAGATGGCCTGGGGGCAGCTGGGAGCGGAGGCCCGGGTCCTCACACCCACCCTGGGCCCCTCCGGCCCCCGCTGTGAACTCCACTTGGCTTACTATTTTCAGAGTCACCCCCAAGGTACCGCTGTCTCTCCTGGCCCTCTGCCTAGCCCTGGGGCGGGTGAGGGCGGGCGGCCGACCCACAGTGACCCCTCACCAGGCTTCCTGGAGCTGGTCGTGGTGGAGGGCAGCAGCCGCGAGCTGGTGTGGCAGGCCCCGGGCAGCGGCACTGGGGGCTGGAAGGTGGACAAGGTCCTGCTTGGGGCTCGTCGCCGGCCCTTCAGGGTGAGGAGGGCAGCCTGGGCGGGGGGGCACACAGAGGCAGTCCTAACATAACAGCCCGATCCCTCATGCCCCTCCACGAAGCTGGAGTTTGTCGGGCTGGTGGACTTGGACAGCCCTGGCCAGCAGGGCGCCGCAGTGGACGACGTGACCTTGATAGGCTGCAGTCCCACGGTGGCCACCGAGAAAGACACAGGTCATTCCCTCTGTGCCCAGTCCCCCTCCCTTTTGAGGGATCCCCCTCAGAGCCCCCACTCCAGGAGCAAGTCTCTCCCACCCTCTCGGGAATCAGGAGGGGCCCGGAGGTGGGGCGGGGCATGCTGACCCTGCTGCCCCACCCCCAGAGGTCTCCTGTAACTTTGAACGGGACACGTGCGCCTGGTACACAGGCCACTTCACCGACGTCCACTGGCGCCGGGTTGAGAGCTGTGGCCCTAGGTACGACCACACCACAGGCCAAGGTAAGATGGGGTGCCCAGACTTGGGGGACAGCTCTCCTAACTCAGAGGGCACCCCCAGACTCAGGCGCAGAGGGCTCACTCACACTGGGCCAAGCCTCTCTGCAGCTCCCCCTATGTCCCTGCTGCAGGGTACTTCGTGCTCCTAGACCCCACAGACCCCCCAGCCCAGGGCACCGCTGCCCACCTCCTCACCCAGCCCCAGGTGCCTGCAGCCCCCCAGGAGTGTGTCTCTTTCTGGTACCACCTCTACGGGCCCCAGATCGGTGAGAGCCTGAGCTGGGCGGGGCCTCGGTAGAGGCCCGTGGGGGTCCCGAGTTCTGCCTCTTGACTGCTCAGGAGCTCTGGAGGGGTGAGAAGCAACCAGGAGTTGGGGTCTGGTCCCCTCCAAACACCCCTTCCCTCTAGGGACACTGCGCCTGGCGATGAGGCGAGAAGGGGAGGCAGAGTTGCACCTGTGGTCACGGTCCGGCACCCAAGGCAACCGCTGGCATGAGGCCTGGGCCACCCTCCACCACCTGCAGGATTCTGGCGTCAAATACCAAGTGAGGCCCGGTGCCGGGCGGGGGTGGACAGGCCGAGGCCCCAGCTGGCTGACCCCCTCCACCCCCACCAGCTG